CACCTAGGCCTCCCAGAGTGCTGGGATTATAGGTGTGAGCCGCCACTCCCGGCCCGGAGTCCTCTGTTTCTGTCGCAAGCAGTAAGCTGCCTGCAGTCCTCTGTGGGGAAGAAGGAGTCCTCTCGGCCTCCCGACTCGAGGTGACCGGTGGCACCAACATCACTGAGAAGCAGCCTGGACAGCAGAGCACTGGGGCCTCCAGTCTTGGCACAGCGGGCAGGACGTGTGGGAGCCCAGGAGGCCGGTTCAGGGCTGCCTCCTGCCACGGCAGCTCCCTGCCCTGTCCCACCCTCTCGTCCCCACCACTCTCTCTCTCGTTCGTGAGAGAAGCGTAAGGATCCTAGTTTAATCCTCCCTGCAATGCCGGAGACTCGACGTGACACACAGAGTTCGCCACCACGCGGGGCGGTCTCCAAGCCGGCGGCGGGAGAGAAGGCTGGGAGTGAAGGGGAGGGACCTGCAGAGCCCCTGACAGTGCGTGGCCCCGGGGCAGACCAAAGAAATCAGCCGCAGAAAGTCTCAAGTCTCGCTGAGACGGGTGGCGGAGTCCGAGATGGGAACCGGGCATCAAGTAACAACGGGAAGTGCGCTCGCCACCGTCATCGGCCTCAAGACGGAACACCCACGATGAGTGAAGGGCGCGGGGAGGGAATGACGAGTAGTGAGAATTCCACTGACGTGATTCCACAAGGAAAGGGAAGGAGGGGAAATGAGGCAAATGCAGCAAAGCCTTGATATTTGCCGAAATGCGGCGATGGGACCATGAGGGTGTGTTTCACGCTTCGCCCTGCTCGGGGTGATCCGCAAAGGGGTGAACCGTGCGGACACTGGGTGCTGCACTGAGAATAGACGTACTTGCTGAACTATCATCGTTCTTAAAATGTCCTCACGGACCTCTCCCCGTTTTTTGTTTTTGTTTTTTCTTTTCCTCGTCTTCTCCAATGTATGGACTCCAAATGGCAAAACGGCTTTCTGCCCTCACCACATCAAAGCAATCGGATGTGGGATTATGTTAATGCAGTTTATCCAACTTCTAGGGAGAAAATGTGCAAATTCCCATGGCGATGGCATTTCTGGGTATCCATGAAACATTAGGTGGCCACAAAAGGACGGTCAGCTTGTGCGCGGGGCGAGTGTGGTTGGAAGATGATGCAGGGCTATTTTTATCTTGATTCGTATTTTATTCAGAACTCGTATTTTTATTCAGATTCGTATTTTATTCGTATTTTATTCCCCGTCAGAAAGATGGGGAAAGGATGTAAATCCCAGAACACTGAGTACCTTTCCCGAATGCGCCGTTATTCTGACGCTCTCTAAAGGAGAGCAACAATTCTAGAATTTCACACGGAGCTCTGAACAGAGCCAGTGTTTAGTGGAAGGACACGCATGTAATTTATTTTAAGGTTTCTACATAGCAACGAGGGACACACACATTTCCCACGAACCCCTTAATTTATTTGTGCAGGTTTTTAAATATTTTCTCGTCGCTCTAAAAGAAAAAGAGATTCTTAATTTAAAATTAGAGGCTTTTCTCAGTAATAAGTTTTTACTTTAGAACTCAGCAGGATTTCTCTTGAAAAGAAACAGGTTGCTTCTTTTATTGGAACGAAGATTTCCCATGTTGTCGGTAAGCAATAAAGCGGTAAGAACTCCATAGTGCAGGGGATATGGAGAGAGAGAGAGGGAAAAAAGAGAGAGAGAGAGACCTGTGTTCCCCAGAAAGTCAAATATCCCAGGTTAGGTAGTTTCTAGATGTAATTTCTGCGGCCAAATGTCTGGGCTCCGTCTCAATTTGGAAGAAAATTGAAAACTCGAGTCCGAGCCTATCCGAGCATTTCCATGAAAATGCCGGTGGAGCCGAATGTGTGGAACTGCAAGACCCCGGGAAATTAAGACTGTTGCACCTGCTTCCACGAAGGCCATCCTCTCACCTGTAGCCACACCTGAGCGGCACCTTTCTTTGTCTGCACGGATAGTGGCAGAAACGGGTACAGGCGCTGTAAAATGGTTGCGATAAAGACCTCAGCGCTGAGTTTCTAAGTCCGCTTGCAAATCCACGTCAGCAGCCAATTCACGATGAGGTTCACTCTTCCAGTCCGGGAGTCACTCCCAAGACTTGACATGTCCCTTAGCGCGTCCTGGGGGCCTGAGGATAGAACCACCTTTGCTCTGGGGGAATTGCGGGGCGGCGATGCTATTTATTAACAGGAAATGAATACAAGCCCACTGAAAAAGTAAGTCCTGAAGTACAGCTTCTAGTAAACTCCTAACTGTCTAAAGCAGTTGGAAGTCCACCCTCACGGCAGGTAAAGCACACACCCAAACCGAGTAGATCTGCAGCTTCACAGGGTCATTTGGAGAAAGTTTAATAGCCAAAGTTAGAAAATGAAACCGAAAATTTTGCATCCTTCTCCCCCTTTGCGAACCGAAATCCTGCCGGCGTGGTGCATCAGTCTTCCTCAGGCCAATCTTCATGGCAGGCAAAACGTAGTTGGTGCCTAACTGGGAATGTTGTTTGAATCATCAGAAAATATTTGTAAGTAACGCATAGCCTCTGGCAGTGAAGAAGACACACTTCCCTGGCTTCCTTGCAGCTACAAAAGGACGGATGAGGCAAACATGCCGGACTGCTGCTGGAGGTCCTTGCACACACAAGGCACCGGGGCTCGTGGTGGGGCCAGACCCAGCCGTCTGTTAGAGGGGGCCCCAGATTCAGCCCTGCAAGCAGCGTCCAACCGAACAGCACGGTGGAGAGGAACGCCGTGCGGGGCTTTGCCAAACACACGCCTGCCCTGCAATGAGCTGTCTTTTTAAAAAAACGCCACAATGCCATACACAGGTCATTCAACCCTGCCTGTGACGCTGACGTTAAACATGAATCATTGGGCACGATAAATGAGTTGCATCTCGTAATTACCTAACCAGCACTGAGGCCTTCCCTTAACTGTCCTGGGCGGGCCGTACAGAGGGTTGTTAGCTCTAATGACAGGCACACATTAAAAACCAGAGCCGTCGGTCGGAATGCAACGCTGGCTGGCGGTCATCGGAGACAGGACAGGGCTCTCCCCGGGAGCACTAGAGCTTCCCCGAACCAGAGTCAGTCCCCACGGGGCCTGAGAGTGTCGGGGCCGCGGGCAGGACGGGATGAATCACACCCTGTGCCTGGGCTCTTGTTCCATAAATTCCTAGTAAATAAAAATAAAATTTAAAGTCTTACTCACACTTTTATGGACTCTTAAGAGCTTTCTTTTTTATGGTTTTGCTTTCGGCAGTGTGTGGCAGTGTGTGCGTGCGTGTGTGTGTGTGTGTGTGTGTGTGTGTGTGTGTTCAAGAGAGAGGAACCGGAACGTGTGAAAGACAATGATTCATAGCTCTGGGGGAGATCAAGGCCTTCTTATTAGCTCGCCTCGTGCAGCCATTCACTCATCACTCATCTAAAACACCTTATAATAGTCTGATTGAATGGGAGGGTGATTTTTATGATGTGAGTTAAATGGAAATTAGGGTGATTTTTGAGACTCTAACATATGGCCCTACTGATTACTTTTACCAACAAATTTTTCATGTGGCCATAATCTAAATTTAAATAAGAGTCTGGGGGGGTGGGGGAAATGCTAGGGTATTCATACCCTATGCCCTCAAGCATCCTAAGAGGACAATAAAAATCAAATTTCCTAAAGTCAAAGGAAAATGGGATGCAAGTAGGAAATTAATGGTCATGAAAAAAAACACACCTCAAGAAAAAAATTCCCTGCAAATGTCTTCCTTAACAATGGTTTTTAGAGCAGAACTGAAAGAGAGAGCAGAGATTCTTGATAAGGCCAGAGCCGGCTGTGCTACACAATTTCCTTGGAGAAGGTTTACAAGGCAGTAAGTACAAATATCAGCATTAAAAGGGCTTTAATCGAGGCCATAGTGCCTACCAGAACATCCCTACTGATAAAGTGTATGTGGTAAAACTTCATAATGTTTCTCTATCTTTTTTAGTTTAAAAACATATTTCTTTAATTATAAGAGAAACACATGCTCACTGTAGAAAATTTTTTAAAATGCACAAAAATGTAAAAGAGGAGATAATAATCATTTGAAATCTCAAGACCCAGAGATAATAGCTGTTAAATAGCTATTAGCATTTTGGTATTTTCTAGTCCTTTTATTTAAAAAAAAAATGTATTCATATTCTAATGTAGCTGAGATTGTGCTGCTTGTAAATTTCATATGCTCCACATTTTCCAGTGCCATCAAAGACTCTTTGTAAAAATCTTTTTAAAATCCTAAAAACATACATATATCCACAGTGCATTCCATCTATATTGGTACCACGTTTTAACAATTATATTTGAGATGCCCTTTCTCCTCCACCAAAACACTTAGGTCAAATTCTACATATTTGCTATATTAATGAAACATCAGAAAACACATATTGATTAAAAAATTTGTATACTTGTTTCTTAATACGCAAGGAAATTTAGGAGTTGTTATTTAGATGCTAAAATATTGGAACTGGCCGGGCGTGGTGGCTCACACCTCTAATCCTAGCACTGTGGGCGGCCAAGGCGGGCAGATCACTCAAGGTCAGGAGCTCGAAACCAGCCTGAGCAAGAGCGAGACCCCATCTCTACTAAAAATAGAAATTAATTGGCCAACTAAAAACATATAGAAAAAATTAGCCGGGCATGGTGGCGCATGCCTGTAGTCCCAGCTACTCGGGAGGCTGAGGCAGGAGGATCATTGAGCACAGGAGTTTGAGGTTGCTGTGAGCTAGGCTGACATCACAGCACTCTAGCCGGGGCAACAGAGTGAGACTCTGTTTCAAAAATAATAATAATAATAATAAAATATTGGAACTTAAGAAATTTCCAGTGGCTCTCAAGGCAAGCGGGGCCCGACACCAGAAATTACAGCTTCACTAAGTATTTGAAAATATCTGATCGCGTTCACATAGCACATCTTCAGGGATGTCCATAAGTCACCGGCGACACTTGCCATTGCATCCGCAGAAAGAAATCGGCCTTCCGTGAAAAAGGCAAGGAAAATCAAAATGTGGAATTTGGGTGCGTCAACGTCACCCTGCAGACAAAACCAGACTCCCAGAGCAACGAGGAGAGCCCGAAGGTGAGGGTTGTGGATGGGAAAGGTGCCAGGCACAGGTGCAAACCCCCCCCCCAGTGTGGAGTGTGCGCGGGTGGCTGACCCCTCACCTGGAAGTGTTCTCCTGCTGACCTCACAGGACACCTGGAAGCTGAGAGGATGGCGTGAGCCGTGGCACCACTCAGTGCTGGGCACAGAAACGTGCTCAGGAAACTACTGCTTTTGTGACCACGGCTATGAACAACATGCTCTGTGCTTACTGTAATAATATAGTCATTAGCAATGTGGTTATCAATACCGCAGTGATTAAAGGGGGTTGTTAATATAGTCATGATAAGACAGCTTATATTATAATATACTGTATTATTAATATTAGGATTAGCAATACTTTTGTCAATGGTGTTGTACAGGAAACGAAACAACACTTGCGTTGTAAAGACTCAATTATACCTGTTTATTTTCTCGTATATGTATATATGTGTGTGCACGCGTGTGTATATGTGTATGTTTGTAATGTGTAAGTATATGAGTGTGTGTGTGTGTGTGCATAAAATATATTCTTTAGGAGGAAACTGGTTTTGAAGGAACATGAAGGTATTTTTTTTTTTACCTCGAGAGATGACTTGGGAAAAGTAACTGTGGGTTTCACGGCAGTGCTGACCGGACGTGGAGTATAATAAAGTCAACGTCAGGACGACAAACGCAGGAAACATCTCCCAGAGCACGGTGAGGTTGTTTTAGTCCTAAATGGCCCGGGAATGATCCCAGATTATTTGTGATGCTTTAGCTGAAGGTAAAAATTAGGAAGGGGAAGAATGCTTGGAAGGGAATCAGAAGAGATTAATTTCATTGGCAGAAAAACGAGGAAGCTCAGAGGGAGAAACGTTGCTACCGTGGGAAAGAACAGGCACCAGCGAGGGGCGGGCCTGCTCGGGATCCCGGCTTCCCGGCGGTCTTCACCGCAGCCTCCTGTAGTCTGGACGGCGGCCTCTGGCCTCTGAAAGGAAGCCCGTGGTACCTTCCTAAGGATGACCTCGGGAAGCCCTTATTTAATAAGACACAAAACTGCTGTAATGCCCACCACACTGGGACTCAGCACACGTTCACTATCATTTGAAATCAGTTTTGTACAGTCGGAGGAATTTAAAGAAGTAAATAAAGTCAAAGTGAGAAATTTAAAGAGGGATTTTATTAGGGGAAAAAACAAAAACCCTGGAAGTGAGGAGAGATGGGTAAGAAATACTTAGATGCCATGGCAACCGGAAGGCGCAGTCGCATTATCTTTTTTTTTTTTTTTTTGAGACAGAGTCTCGCTTTGCTGCCCAGGCTAGAGTGTGCCGTGGCGTCAGCCTAGCTCACAGCAACCTCAAACTCCTGGGCTCAAGGCAACTCCTCCTCAGCCTTCCGAGAAGCTGGGACTACAGGCATGCGCCACCATGCGCGCTAATTTGTCTAATATATATTAGTTGGCAATTAATTTTTCTATTTATAGTAGAGCGGGGTTCTCGCTCTTGCTCACGGGTGTTTCGAACTCCTGACCTCGAGCATCCGGCCCCGTGGCCCCAGAGTGCTAGGATTACAGGCGAGAGCCACCGCGCCCGGCCTCAGCCCATTATCTTTAAGTGAATTTTTAAATCTCCTGTAAAAGAAAAACAAAACACCACTTTCACAAGTGCTTTATAATAAATCTAAATGCTTTGCTAATTGCCTGTCACTGCTACAAATAGTATTTGCTTTTCAGGGAGCTTTTTTTTTTTTTTTTAATAAGGCCCTGGAAATAAATCAGAACTTTTAATTCATTTGAAGACAAGGCTGAGGATTAAATTGAAAAAAAAAAAAGAAGAAAGAAAGAAAGAAACAGGGTGAGGGAAAACCTCCAGGATAACAGAATCGTCCTGAGCATTATTTTATCGTGTAATGTAAGGGGAACATAATCCGAGGTCAGCTAGAAAGGGCAGCCCACGTGATAACCACGCTAGGCGTCCACGTGGTGTTTCCCTTCAACCCTGAGCCTCAGTGGTCAAAGCCGCCCCTGGGTGGCCAGTGCCCACGGCATTGTGGGGTCAGGCCCTCTGCCCCCCAGGAGGGGCCAGGGGTCCCCAGGGGTGACTTCACACAGCCCACTGCTTTAGGGACTCTAAATGCCAGGTGTGGCTTGACGACATTTGCTTTAATCTCTGGAAAGTAGAATTTAACATAATATCAAATCACACCACTCGTAGTGCTGAGCTCTTCAGAGTTGCTTCTTAAATCCCACCAACCGCGCGCCGTAAGGGAAAACTCTTCTCCAAATGCTCTTGCTATGCAGCACACGCCCAGCTTCTTCAAGGAACGGCTGTGTCCACACAAGATGTTTAAACATGCAAATGCAGGAATTTATTTTTTTGCATTTGCACATTTTTAATTTTATTTACTTTTTAAATTCAGAACATTACGGGGGTACGAGAGCTTTGGTTCCATCTATTGCCTTTGCACCACCCAAGTTGGGCGGAATTTCGATTCGTCGGCTGATGGCAATTATCAGAACAAAGTCACTGGGACAGAATTAGCTTCAGGTTTCAATAAGAAAAACGTCGGCTGGGCGAGAGGTGGCTCACGCCTGTCATCCTAGCACTCTGGGAGGCCGAGGCAGGCGGATCGCTCAAGGTCAGGAGTTCGAGACCAGCCTGAGCAAGAACAAGACCCTACCTCTACTAAAAATAGAAAGAAATTAATTGGCTGACTAAAAATATATAGAAAAAAATATTAGCCAGGCATGGTGGCGTGTGCCTGTAGTCCCAGCTACCTACGTGGGAGGCTGAGGCAGAAGGATCGCTTTAGCCCAAGAGTTTGAGGTTGCTGTGAGCTAGGCTGACACCACGGCACTCACTCTAGCCTGGGCAACACAGTGACACTCTGTCTCAATAAATAAATAAATAAATAAATAAATAAATAAATAAATAAATAAATAAAATAAGAAGAATGGCAAACTGAGATGTGAGGTTGAGGATAACAAAATGTATAGCAAATCATCAAAAGGTGCATCCACAGAGCACAGAGGGTTTACAGGGGGGTGAGACTACTCTGTGTGCTGCTGCAGGCATGGGGCATGTCACTGTGCATGTGCCCAAACCCAGGGAATGCGTGGGTGAGCCCGCATGTGAACTGCGGGCTCCGGGGCATACTGACGGGCCGGTGCTCACTGATTGCGACGAACGCACCACCCTGGTGTAGACCGATGGCAGTGTTGGAGGCTGTGCCTGTCGGCAGGGGGTAGCAGGTATGTAGGAAGTCTCTGTACCTGCTGCTCAATTTTGCCATGCACCTAGGACTGGTCTAAAACAAATAAAGTCTATTAAAAAATCTATAGCATTATTAATTGATGCTATTAACTTTCATTCCAAATCAAACGGGAACATTGTTTCTTCCGGTGCGATGGTGACCTGCGTTAAGCTGGCAGGCCCTGCGTGCGTTTGCCCGGGACTCCACGATGGCTACGGTGGAGACAGGGCGTCTGAGGAGATGAGAGGTCTGAAGGGGGGAAGTCCACGTTACCCCTCAGATCTGCACCCCCAGCTGGTGTGGAGCAGCGGGGAGAACTCAGGCCCCTCACTCCCCGCAGCGCTGTCCCCAGAGACGCCCAGATGCCCGTCACCGACCTCACCCAGGCCTCCCAGCTCTGCCTGGAACAGGTGCCCCGGGGGGAATGGCCGCAGGGTGAGTAGCAAAGCCACCACCCAAAGGCGCCACCAGGAGGCGCTCTGCAAGTCAGTCTTGGTGTCAGGAAAGTCGGATTTAAAAGTAGACTTCAAATTTGTCAAAGCCATGGCGTTGCAGGAACAAGGGAGAGAAATATCCTGCTATTCCGATCTGTCCAGTACACTTCACCGATTTCCTGTCTTCCGTTTCTTGATGCACAAAGCTGGAGACGTCCTGGCAAAGCCGTATGGAAGGAGGGCTGGGTTTCGGGTGGTAGCCGTTTGTAAAGCAATGCAAATAATAAAAGTGAGGTAACATGGCCTACCGCCGTGCGTACTGCCAGCCTCATGGCATTGAAGCCTCGCCCGTAAGTGTCCATGCTGTCCCATAAGTGTCTTATCGGCCTCGTTTTACGTCTGAGCAGTGAGGCCTGGAAAAGCCTGACAGGTACAGGTCAGCATGGGAGGCCTCAGACTAGAATTCCAGAATGTTCCCATCACAGCACCCTGCACCCCGGGGCCACTTTCTTCCACTCTAGGGACAGTCTGCAGGCCTGGGGGCTCCGGTTGTTCGAAAACAGGAATTATTACTGTGTTTTTAAAATCCAAACCGTGTCCCGTGACTGAAGAAGGTGTCAGAACGGTCAGTTGCCCTGGTCGCCTTCGACCCTCAACCTCATCACAGTGGGACGACCAGCCCGTGTGCAGCCCACGGTCCGTTGACCACGGTGCAGCCGGCGGGACGTGCAGACGCCCACGACAAAAAATTACTTTCTTGTTTATTATGAAAACGTGGCAGTCGTGCAAAAAAAAAAAAAAAAAAAAGCATATTTAGGGGGAAATAAAGAAGGAGGCAGGACTTTTGTTTAAACAGAACTGAGGATTCACTGCCTGCAAAGAAATAAAAGCCTTCCAAGCAAAATGATTTATAAATAAAAGAGGAGGAGTATTATAGTACACAACACCATGTATTATGAATGATGCCTTTCGTGCGCCGTGTGTTGCAAACTGCTTTCTAGAATCTTACAAAATCCAGCATGGCAGGAACGCGACGAAATCGGGAATTGCAAGATTAGAGCGACTGTGGAGCTAAATAGCCCCGGGGAGCCACGGGAGGCGTTGGACTCGTGGGCTCCTGGTGGTGGGTATCTTTAATAAACCGAGGCAACAGGGAATAAACCTCATTGCATGTAATACATGGAGGAGAAAGAAAATTAGGGTAATGTCATCTATCACCGCTGATTTCATCTCCCCGAGAATGAGGGAAAGAAAATTCCTGGCATGGAATGAATTTTATAAACCACACACATTATCTGACATTTGTAAGGGGAGGGAAAAAAAAATCGTGGCATGGTATTCTTCAGCTGCGACGCAACATACCGCGGTTTCCGAAATAAGACAGGGTCTCATATTTGTTTTTCCTCAAGAAGACACCCTAGGGCTGATTTTCAGGGGATGTGTCGTTTTCCCCTCAAAGCCTCAGCTTGCAGCACGCACAAGGTGGGCCGGGACCCGACAGGGGAGCCGACCTTGTTGGGCTGCCCGCACCTTTCCGGTCACCTCTGGACAGCAGCTGTCACGACGGGCGCGATGAGAAGGGCTGCTCGTCTTCTTTCCCACTCCGCGACGACATGCATGGGTTGTGCAGATGTGCTGTGTAGCCACGCCCGTCACTAGGTTCTCATTTCCGGGGAACACGGTATATTTTAAGGAGGTAAACGCCTGAATCTTTTCAGGGAGACGGGTCCCAGTGAGCTGCCCTGTCGCGGAGAACCGCAGACAGGAGGGAGCCGCCGGTCGATCCCACGCAGAGCCCGCAGTCACACGGGAAGACGAGTAGGAAGGCTCTGGCCAAGAAGTCCGGCGGATAGAACGTCATGGACACTTAACTTTGTCCAAGTTTTGATGGATATGACTGACAATTCGCCATCAAGACTCAGCCCTTCCAGGAAAGCAGGGAAGAAAGAAAAGAAGGCTTTCCTTGCCCCATCTCAGTAAAGACAAATTACTCAGAGGTCACCATGCTGACAGGAGCCTCAAATGAGAAAGAATGTTCCGGAAGTCGCTGGGGGGGGGGGCACATCTTTTAAAGACCTCTTCGCATGATATCCTCGGTGTATTTTTCTCTCCATGCATTTGTTTTACTTTTAAAGATAATGGGATATAATAAACAATACTTTGAACTTTCTTATGATACAGAGTTAGATGGGAGGGAGGTTTGCAACAGAAATATGACACAAGCCCCAGACGTCATTCCAAATTCTCTAGACCACATTAAACAGTGAAAAGGAATCGATGAAAGCAATTTTAATAACATACTGCTTATTTTATCTATGTGAAATATTGTATTAATATTTGACAAAATACACCAATGAGATATTTACACTCTTTTTGCCATGCTAAGTCCCCAAATCCAGTGTGTGTTTTCCACTAACAGTTCCTCTCGACATGGGCAGGCCACGTGTTAAGTGCTCAGCGGCCACACGTGGTCGGAGATTGTGGGACGGGGCAGCATGGGGTTAGAGTGCCGTGTCTTGTCAGGTGCCAGAGACCTGATGGGCTAAGTCAAAATTTTATTATGAAATAAATTCTATGCCACACCATTATGTTTTGGCAATCAAGAAGGTCAAAGCCAGCCTGGGCAAGAGTGAGACCCCTGTCTCTACTAAAAATAGAAAGAAATTCATTGGCCAACTAAAAACATATAGAAAAAATTAGCTGGGCATGGTGGCACGTGCCTGTAGTCCCAGCGACTCAGGAGGCTGAGGCAGGAGGATCACTTGAGCCCAGGAGTTGGAGGTTGCTGTGAGCTAGGCTGACGCCACGGCACTCTAGCCCGGGCAATAGAGTGAGCCTCTGTCTCAAAAAAAAAAAAAAAGAAGCTGAAAGCATGGCAATTGTGTAGGGCGAGGGGTTATTTTAAGCCGGATACACATATATTTAAACAGACATTTCTTTTTCCTAAGTGCCTTGGTCAGGTGATTCTGCTAAATGTCGAACAGGAACCCTAGTTCTCACCCTCTGGAACATTGTAGTATAATCTAGAAGGGAGAACTGAAGGATCATTAGTGCAATAATTCCAACCTGTTTAAGAAATAGGATTTTTTAAACAATAACTGGAATCAATAGTAACAATAAAGAATAATAATAACAACAAACACTGAGCACTATTTCCAATGGGGCCTCAGCTTCCCAAGGACGTCAGAGGGAAACATCTCACCTGCAAGAAAGAATAGGAGGAAAACGGAGAGGAAACACACCCCTGGAAACCACGCCGGCTGAATTAACGCACTCTGGAACCGTGCTCAGGCACCAAACCGGGAGCTGTGAGTGTAGACTGCGACATGTCCCTCACGGTTCTCTAAGTGCCTAGGTTTTCCTTTGAACTGTTACGAAGATGGCCGTTATACGAAAAACAGAAGATGAAGTATGAGAGGAAAGTGAGGAAGGAGGGAGGGAAAGCAAGAACAATAGGGGAAAACCACCAAAAAAGGGGCATTGTCCCAGAGAAGCACTCGGGTTTTATTCTTCTCTCCCTCCACCCTCCTTTTCCTCCCTCTCTCCCTCTTCTTCCCTCTTTCTCCCTCTCTCTCCCTCTCCCTGTCTCTCTCACTCTCTCTCTCTCTCTCTCAGACCTGAGGAGGCTTAGCCCAGTCACATGCTTCCCTCTAGTGTCTGAAACGCTGAATACACATTTCATTCTATTAAAAAAAAAAAAAAAAAATCATAAATTGTCTCGTAGCCGCTGCAGAACCCAACCACCTTTAATTTTAAATATAATCAAGACAGAACCCACAAAGGTAAAATAATCATCCAGCGTGGACTGCCTCTTTACAACTTGTGGGTTATTCTTGTTTTCTCAAAGTCGTTAGGTAGAGAGTTAGGATCTGGGCTCTCCCCGGGGGCAAGGGCTCCCTGCTCTGGTGCTGCCTGGAGCAGCTGCCCCACCTGGGAAGAAGGATGGGGCGGGTGCTCCATGGTGGTGCTGCCCCTGCCTTGATCCTGTCCCAGCAACCCGCTACACCTGAGCAAGGAGGGCACGCTCCATCAATCCGGGAATTCCCCCCTGCCCTAGGCATGATGGGATTTAGAAAGTGACCCAGAGTGACCTAAGAGCAATTAATATGCCATCAGCGTGGATCTGCATTGCGGTTCACCCTGCCCCAACAGGTGGGCTTTCCTAGAGGAAGCTTGTATATATATATATATATATGCAGACGGCATTTTGAGGACACCTGTCGATCATGTGATAACATCCCACATCTCGCGAGAACCTGCCCCAGGAACGGGCCGATAAAAGGAACCAACCCGAGACTTCAGAGTGAGGGGGTGAGTGGGTCTGTCTCCCTCCACTCTCACAGACAGGCCCGTTTTATTCTACAGGAAAGGAGTTGGAGCACCGGGGTAACAGTCCCGCCATTCTTAGGCCAGGAGCACACCAGGAACCGAGGGCGGCTGCCACGCTGGCGTCTCTGGGCCGTGACTCGGATCTCCCTGACGGAGCGACCTGGATCCCGGAGCCCTCGGACAGCCAGGTGAGCTGCGGCGTCTTCACAGACCCGACCAGCCCGGCCTGCGTGCGGTACGGTGATGTATTTCCACAAATGTTTCTGAGAAGTTTCAACATAAAGACCTGGCTCTGTCCTCCATCTGGCCGGCTCTTTCAAAGTTGTTAGGTAGATACTGTGTTTCCCTGAAAATAAGACAGGGTTTTATATTTATTTTTCCTCAAGAAGACACCCTAGGGCTTATTTTCAGGGGATGTGTTATTTTCTTTTTAAGTATGGTACAACCATCTGCATTTATTCAAATAGACTTGAGTCGTCTTCTTCTGGAACATCGTCATCACTCTCCAAACCCCGAATTCCATCCGGAATGTCTTGTGACTCTATTTCCTTTAGAACCACTGGCCCCAATCTCTCATGTGGAGCCACACAGCTCTCACGGGGCAGGTGAGAAGGGCTGCTCGTCTTCTTTCCCGCTCCGCGACGACATGCACGGGTTGTGCAGACACGCTGCGCAGCCACGCCCGTCACTAGGTCCTATTTTCGGGGTGGGGCTTCTATTGTGCAAATGCTTAAAAATCCCGCTAGGGCTTGTTTTATGGG